AAAGTAACAGAATGAATATATATTATAAAAGACACTCAAATGTGTTTTTATCATTTCAACTTCTATACGATCTCTTTCTTCTATCAGGTGCATGCCCATCGATGAAATGAATAAAACTGGTACACATTTAATTTTCCTTAGTGCTTGGCTAGCATGCACAGTTCTTCCATTGTCCCCTTTTCTAGCATTAAAGTGTAGGTGGTGAGAGGTAATAGTAACTGTTTTGTTTATCATCTCCCAGACCCCATCTTGCTTCAGGCATCAGAGGTAGAGAGATAGTGACAGAGTCACCTATAACAATTAGATGATGAGATTCCCAGTGAATACCTTAAAATGCCTGTCAGAACATATACCAATGCATTTTGTTAATAGTAACAGTGTGCTTCAGAATACTGCAATTAAGCTGCTTTGCTTCTAAAAGCTGTTTATGGTTTTTAGATTATCTGACATCTTCATGAAACTGTTTAGTACCCATGGTTACCAAATATGTCTCATGCAGTAACACTGTTCTGGTGCTTCATATATTGTATCGTATTAGCAGATTTTCCTTTTTCTTACAGTAATTTCCTAGCATCAAACCTCAAAGGTATAAATAATAAAATCTTCTCCAAATCTTAATATTCAGAAATGTCATTAACCCCTTAATTATTTCATATGCTTGTAGTGGGCCCCACTTAATATAAATGCTTATCTCTGGGATATTTGCTTTCAACAGAGGACATGAAATTTTGAGAGAATACGTAGCCTCAAAATGATTTATGTAGCACCAGGAATAGGTGTAATGTAGGAGTTCCTGTGTGGTTGGCAAACAACTTTCAGCCTAATAGGGGGCTACATGACTGAGTTGGAAATAGGAAAGACATCTGAGTCACAAAATTTAGCCTTTGTTATAAGTTAATATGTGCTGTGGCTTCTATCGCATATGCCAGTGTGGTTGTCTAGGGATACTACTTGTTTAATAAGAAACATTTTATTTATTCTGGCTTCTTATTTGCTGTTTTCAGTGCAATATTAAACAGACACTGAGGTGATATGCATATTGATTCCCTGTGGTATAAAGGATGCATCTACTCAGTGAAAAGATAGTTACTCACAAATGCCTTCAGCATTAAACAAAGTCCTATGTGAAGGACTGCAGATGAAGTTGGATATGTGTTGACACATACAACACAGGCATCTTTCAGTTTTTTCTTTGTCCATTTTTTCCTTCTACCTGATTTTCATCTCTTTTTCTGTCTTGCATGTTAAGGAAAGAATAAGTGTTTATGAACTAGTCTAAGTTATTTCAGCTTCTTCCTTACGTTCTTCTGAGAATCCCAGCTGATGCAGTATATATATATATATATATATATATAATTAATTCAAGTAGCAAAAGCCAATATGACACCCATATGTGTGAGTAATTAGCAGGTATAGTCCGATTACCATCTGAAGTGGGTAATGTCTTGGCACTAATGGGCCATTAGGATGAGTGGGCATTACAGTCTCAGCAAATTCTTTTGTGTCAAAATATTGTCCTGGGCATTTTCTTTTTTTTCTGCTGACAGCATAGCCTGAAGCAAATTCTTGGCTAACCAAGGAATCTACCTGATCCAATTTTTCTCAGGAGTGAATCCTAAGTCAAAGGGAAGCTATGGGGTAAAGGAACTGTTTGGAGCAAGTGTATTTCAGGAATGTACTAAATCATCCATGGCTTATTTTGCTTTCCTTATTTTCCTTGTTTTTAAACAAAAGCTTACAGGAATCCATTCAATTCAGTAGAGAGCTGCAAAACTGTAATGTGCATCATCTTATGCAGTATTTATTCTATTATTGCAATTTATCTCCTCCTTTCAGATCAGTAAATATTATAATTGGATAATATTTTGAAATGCCTATTGCTCAACGTTACTTTCCAGCAAATATAAATAAATAGTATGTTTAGAATTTTATCTTCTGGAAATGGATCCATGTTTCATTTCCTCATTCTCTCCTAAGCACTGCATAGGGACTAATAAGTTCAGTGGTGTTATTTACCAATAGGTCAAAATTAACTTTCTATTCACTGTTTGTAATTTATGCTGCCTTCAGGGACTGGAAGATTGATGTAGGAAGAAAGAGTGATTAGTGCTCTGACAGTGAGATAGTTGCTGCCTCTGATCCTGGCATGGCCTTTCTCACACCTCACTGCGTTCTAAGCAGCTGGCTTTTTATGGGAAACAGTAGAAGTGGACCCATGCCACTTACTTGCTGAGGATGGGGAAATGGGGATTAAAGAAGGGGGTGAGAGAGGGCTATTTGTTGTGATGCCACAAAGGCCCTTATACATGGGAATTCAGAGGATTCTTCCCTTTCTTCTTTGATGCTTGTCTATGTCTATCCAACCATGTGGGATATCACCCACAGAAATCCATGGCTGACACATTTTTGGGCCATCAGAGGTACAGTATCACTTCAACACTTGGATAACCAGAAAATTTAACATGACTAAAGAAAGAGGAAGGAGGGGCATTTCAAGATGCAGGGAAAGCACTTTGCCATGGTCACAGTAAATGAAATACTCTTGAGCCCTAATGCATTTCCTAATCTTGTATCCATCATATGAACAACACATGGAGACAGATCAATGTGAGCAAACCTAAGCAGGCTATGAATGGCATATTCAAGTAGTAAAATTCAGTAAATAAATGCTAAAGGCATTTCTCATGGTGTTACAATGCACTGATAGTGATTTTGATTGTAGTGACCTTCCTAATTGTGTTTGAGATTAACAACTCCTTAGATTTTATGGTTACTGTTAGGCTAAGACTACAAGTTACATGGACTGAGCTGAGAGTTAAGTGGACTGAGCAAAGTAAGGAGCTGATCCTACTTGGTTTGAAGCCAATGGCAAGATTACCATTAACTGCAATGTCAGAAGAATTGTCCCTGGCACTAGTAAAACAGCATGAGGTTTGTATCCCAGATGCTATTAGTAAAGATGAGAGGAATTTCTGTCCTCCTTGTGCCAATAGCACTGAAAGAGAGTGCTGTTTCTCCAACCCTGACTAATTATGTGAACTCAGACTCAGTTTGTACCTTTCTTTTTCCCACATCTGTATCCTTTCACCTATACAATCAGCTGCAAAGCAGCAACACCTTTACTTTTGCTGGGAGGACAAACATATAGCTCTCCTTTCGGCAGCTGCTGTTGTGCATGGCTTTGGCATGTAATGAAAAGCAGGTTCCCCTTTGAGATCAATTCAGCAGCACTTCTTTCCTTTGGAAAAGAAGCCTCTTCCCAGAAGTGCTTTGTGCAGCTGCCAACTTGCTTCAGAAAAGAGTTGTGTTGATATACATGAGAAAAATCTTTCATGACCAATTCTTTACTGCAGTGATTCTCTACCAGAGTGTCATGGCACCCCAGGATGTGTCCAGTTCCTTTGCAATTATGCTGCAAGGTATGAGGAGAAAAGCAGATCAGCTTAGGCTTGTCCTCACTGGCTGATTCCTGATTCCCAGCTGCCCAGAACCTCTGGAAGAAGGTAAGCACTGTAATACATAAATTAGTTTTTGAAATTGGGTGGCACCCAATTCACAAAAAATATGGACGTGTGTCTCAAGTCCTGTGAAGGGTACCTTAAGTTCAGTGAGGGGTACCTCAAGTCCGAAATGATTGTGAACCACTGCTGTACTGAGAAACTCCTCTCTGTTCAGTGGCTCCACAAACAGTTGTTGCTCTGTATCTGTATACCACATATCAATGCTGGTGTATAGCGTAATAGATAGGACACTGGGGTGGGATTTGGATATTTGATATTACTTTTGGCTCTGCCACTGCCTTGATGCTTGAACTTGGGCAAGTCACTTCACCTCCATGGAACTTAATATCTCCCTCTGTAAAATGGGGCTGATGTTATTAAATGTCTTTGGTAAAGCACTTCCCGTACTGTAGCTAGGTCCTATGATTGCTAATATGAGACAGATGATAACATGGTGGGAATTCAAAGAGAGGGATTTGCATTATTATTTTACTTTCTTTTACTAGGCATTATAAGAGAAATTAGTTTAATAGTTTCATAATTGTGACAGGCTAGCTGGTAGTGATTTGGACCAGGGGTTTTGAAAGGGTAAAAGATGATTAGAGGGCTTGGGATTCCCTTTCCTCATCAATTGGGCCTCACAGACTCATCCTCCATGTCCCCTGATTGGTCCCTCAGGTCACCTGGAGGGGGATAAAAGGGGCAGTGCAGTTGACTCAGAGGAGACCAGTGAGGGACCACAAGGAAGGAGCTTCAAAGAGCTGGGCCAGTGGGCGGGAGCAGTTGCCCCAGAAGAACCTAAAGGAATGGGACCTGTAGGCAGCAGTTGGACCCTCAGTAGTGCCCCGGGCGACTGGCAGGAGAGGCTCCCTGTTGGGCTCCAGGATCCCCTACGAGAGGCTGTGGCCAGCAGGACAGGTTCCCCAGCTCCAGCAAGGATCTGAGCAGTGACCTGAGAGGTTCCCAGCTCCGCTTCCAGCTCCTCTAGCAAGAGGCCAGGCAGCTTGACATGAGGCCGGGGTTCCTGGAAGGTCAAGACCCCTAGCAGTTTGGAGTAGTCCTAGCATTGGTGGCTGTGTGGTACAGTTTCTCCCTACCATACCACATGGGAGGTATGAGTTCAAGTCCTAGCTGGGATGACTTAGGTTGAATAAAGTAAAATGGAGATATTCCTGTTGCAGTGGAAAGGGGATCATTGTGTTTTCCCTCGTTCCCCCCACCCCACCCCTCCAGGTACCTTGGGCCCTATTTTTCTTGTTATCTGCTGTTTTGTATTTTGTGCCTTTTATATTTTGCCCACCAGTATTGTTTGTTCTGTTAGTGTTTTATATTTCGTTAACCCTGTCTTTTGTCAACTGGATGACTATGTCTATGATTGTAAGTGTCTAACCTTTATTGAATCCTGCCCCCTTGGGGCATTGTAGTGTCCCCTATACCCCCTGGTTTATACCTGTTATGTTCCCACTACTGTTCTGTCATTAAAAGGTATCCATATAAGTCCCCATTGGTGACCTGGCTCTGCTCTAAGGGGAAAGAGGCTCCCTACACCTCCAACAGTGCTTGTGCACCTGCTCTGATCCCTTCATTTGGAGAGGGGGTACATCTTGGAGTACTGCCCAGGTTACAGTTGGTAGGGTCGGAAGGGACCTGAGCAGATGATCAAGTCCGGCCTCCTGTGATGGGCAGAAAAGAATGCTAGGGTCAAATGACCCCAGCTAGGTGATTATCTAGCCTCCTTTTGAAGACCCCCAGGGTAGGGAGCACCACTCCCCTTGGAAGTTGGTTCTAGATCCTAGCCACCCTGACTGTGAAGTAGTGCCTCCTGATGTCTAGCCTGAACCTACTCTCAATCAACTTGTGGCCGTTATTCTTAGTTACTCCTGGTAGTGCCTGGGGCACAGGGACTCTCTCATTCCCCACAGATCCCCCCTGATATGTTTATAGATGGCCACCAGATCCCCTCTCAGCCTTCTCTTTTGGAGGCTGAACAGGTCAGGTCCTGTAGCCTCTCTTTGTAGGGCCTGTCCTGCTGCCCCCTGACCATGTGAGTGGCCCTCCTCTGGACCCTCTCAATGCTGTCCACATCCCTCCTGAACTGTGGTGCCCAGAACTGGACGCAGTACTCCAACTGTGGCCTGACCAATGTCGCATAGAAGGGAAGGATCAGCTCCTTGGACCTGCTTAAGATGCGTCTGTGGATGCATGACAAGGTGCAGTTAGCCTTATTGACCACGTCCTCACACTGGCAGCCCATGTTCATTTTGGCATCAATAATGACTCCAAGATCCTTTTCTGTCTCTGTGCTGATGAGAAGGGACTTCCCCCAGCCTATAGGCATGCTGCTGGTTCTTTCTCCCTAGGTGCAGTACCCTGCACTTGTCAGTATTGAATCCCATCCTATTCTCATCCACCCACCCCTGAAACCTGTCCAGATCTAGTTGTGGCCTGTCCCTCCCTTCTGTCATGCCCACCTCTCCCAACATCTTAGTGTCATTGGCAAATTTGAACAAGGTGCTTTTCACCTCCTCATCCAAGTTGCTGATAAAGATGTTGAACAGTACGGGCTCTGGGGGACTCCACTGCTCACATCCCACCAGGTCGAAAATGACCCGTCCACCACCACCCTCTAGCCAATTTGCTGCCCATCTGACTGTGCAGGCATCAACGCCACAGTCACCTAATTTTTTAATGAGAATGAGGTGAGAAACAGTGTTGAAGGCCTTCCTAAAGTCCAGAAAAACTACACCCATGGCAACACCTACGTCCAAGGATTTTGTGACCTCATCATAGAAGGCAACCAGGTTGGTCTGACAGGACCTGCCCCTAATGAATCCATGTTGGTTGCCCCTAAGCATAATATCCCCTGCTGGCCCCTTGCCGATGTGCTCCTGGATAATTTTCTCAAAGAGCTTCCCCAGGACCAAGGTAAGACTAACGGGCCTATAGTTACCTGGGTCCTCCTTACTCCCTTTAAGAGTCATTGAGAAGTGGTAGAAGTTTTTAAAATGTACTTAATAGCTTTTTTGGATACAGCAAAATTAATATAAAAATGAAATGAGCAGTATTCTAGGATCCTAAGTATGGGAGGTAGATGTTGGAAGGGGTGGTATATTTTGGTGTGATAATTAAAAAGGATATGGTATATTTTGGTGTGATATTTCAAAAAGTATTTTTTTTGGCATCTCTGTAAGTAGTCACTAGTTGTTTCATGTGAACAAAGATCAGCCTGATGGCCATTGACAAAACTTTAGCCATTCTGTTTTATTGTTTGTATGATCAGATGATCTAAGCCACATGGCGACACTCTTAGTTCCTGACACTATAAGTAAAAAGATTGGGCATATGGTTTTAAAAATACAAATAGAAAATATAGGCAAAATAATTATTACAATTTTTGAACAGTTAAAAAATACTCAGCACAGGTAATGTAATACTAAAGCAAATATGGTAAAAAGAAGAAATGAATCCTACACGCATTGGATCTTGGGTATATAATCATTTCTATTTTATAGTTCACACAACCTTCAATTCATTAATAAATTGCCAATGAATAAGTAAAACTACCTGCAAGCAAATTGCCATAACTACCAGCAGAAAAAGCTTCCTATAATTATTTGCCAGAATATTCACAATTACTTCTTATATCCCAACTGTACAATATATGGCACAACTGTAGCAAAACCCCCAGTTTTTTTCTTTTTTTTTTTTTTTTTTTTTTTTAAAATGCTTTCCCTCCACTCCCCCAACCTTTTCTGACTTTTTCTCTCCCTCTCTATTCCCTATAGATAAGTATAAGTGAGCTAAGACATAGGATAAGCTTCAGCATTTTATTTAGGTAGCAAGTTGTATTTGTTTTGTTTTTTCTCCTTCTTTGTATTGTATAATTATTATGTTTATATTGATTTTTACTGTTCTATATTACTGTTTTACTGATACTATATGATTTAGGCCTACATATATAAATTAGCATAAATCATGTCAAGTTTCCATTTTGGTTGTCAAGTCTCCATCTTTTCCCCATGCCCTGTTGTGTAACCTATGACTCGTACCTACCCCTCCTATGTAAATTGGTTCCTGGATGAATGGGGATGAATCTCCTTGAGAGACAATGGCAGTAGATCTAAAAATAGCTCCCTCTGAATGACCAAACCATCAACACCAATACCTAGACCAATGACCCAGCCCTTGGAACCACCCTCAGCATTCAAGAAACAAAGGATGAGGCAACCCATCATTGTGCCAAGGATACACATGCTGAGTAAGAACACCTGGAGCCCTCTGGAACAGGACTGACATTTCCTAGACTGGCCCTCCCCATAGGAGAACAGAGGTAGTCTGCCCCATAAAAGAGCTAGTAAAGATTGACTCTTTGGGATGCCCTCTCCATCTGGACCATCACCATGCCACACCACCTATCTACCCAGACGCCCTCCCAGTGACCCCCCTCTGGACAACACCTGCTGGACAAGAACCCCTTTCCAGCCTGGATAAGTAGCTATTACCCCCCACCTCCTCTTCAACCAAGGACTGGGACTCTATTTCTCTTTCCTCCCTGGACTCCAACCCTTCCATTGAGTCTTTCTCCTGCTGCCAGTGTGTGTGTGTGTGTGTGTGTGTGTGTGTGTGAACCAATAACTTCATCGGGCTGTGTAGTGTGTTGTCTGTGTAATAAAACTGTTATTTGGACCCCTGAGTTAGGTTTTGCTTTACTATGGTTCAGCCCTGCTCCAGTCTCTGCTCCTTGCCCCTCTAACTTCTGTCTCATTTCTCCCTCTCCTGCTTCTGGCTCGCCACCACCTCCAACACCTGTCCTGAGCTCCTCTCTGCTTCCAAACCCCCCTGGTTCTTTGCCACTGTCTTATCCCCACTGCCTTTCCCCCAGATCTCTGCCACTGCTATTGCTTTGTTGTCACTGCCTTTTCTCCTGAGCTCTGCCACTGTTATTGCTTTATCCCCACTGCCTTTTCCCCTGACCTCCCAAGTTTCTGCCTCAGTTTCATTTG